AGAAGTGGAAATGAGTTTTTTCCTCCCATTCTCCTGTGCAAATGTGATATGAGGCATAGGGGACGCAGACATTTTTGTCTTGCTGGGTAGTAGATAAGGGCATTGACATAAAACAGAAGGGAGACCAGCAGAGTAGAGGCAAGGGAACAGTGGGATGGAAGGGGGAGAGAAAAAGAAAGTACTGGGGACTGAAAGGGAGAAAATTACATTCCATGCACACATGATTATGTCAAAATGGTCCAATATTATTAATAACCATGATACACTACTAAAATCATAATAGTAACTTTCAAAAATGTTTGAAATGCGAGGCCCTCCATCCCCAGCAATGCTTTGGTGGTCCACAGACCAAAGAATGGCCTTACGGAATCCTGCTGGATGACCATAAACAGACTCTCAGACTCCAGGAAAAAGTATTGTCGGGCAATAGAAAAGCAAATGGGAAGGGCACCTTTCCTGTGAAAAAGGAACATCAACATCAGTGGGATAAATGAAGAGTGTAGGATGTGCTAATTCTAATGGCTCTGCAAGGGTCTTATTCATTGTTTTCCAACCTGCACAGACCTCCCAGACACCATCAGTTTTAAAACTTCCAAAGGTTTTGTTGGTGGTGGTTTGTTTGTTTGTTTAGCCCCTGCCTCCCAAATGCTCCCAGGACCTGATGAACATTCCCTTGAACCTTCTCTCATATGTTCCTTTCCTTCTCCACTTCCATACTCATAATCCCAATTCAAGCACTCAAAACTGTATTCCCACATGACTGCAATGCTTTCTTCTAACTTTAAGTATCCATTTCCATCTAATTATCCTGCCAGCTATATGTATATAAATTCATGAATCTACAATGACCCAAAACCATCTATCCAATCAAATGTTTAACACAGTTATTCAGAAATGGGTCAAAGATGTTTACTCAACCCCAAAAGTAACTCAGGTTGCTTCCTCCCTGTAATTATCTCTTATTACCCTTACCCAATTAAAATTTCACAAATGCAAAAGTAAGGTAAACTGGTGAAACTGAATTAGAGTTAACCTTTTAACATTTTGTTGTATTCTTCATTCTTGCAAAGTAATATTTTCTCTCTTTTTGTTCTTTTTTCCCCCTCTCATTTTTTTTTCTTAAATACATGCCCCCGCCAAGTTTCCTGAAACTTGTTTCATATTTTTGTCAGTAATATCTATAGAGAATAATTTGAGATCCCAAATTGTGGAGAAACAGGGAATGTTGAAATGAGGTTGTGCACACACCTTTCAAAAGATAGAGATGATACGGTTCAGATAAATTGTGTCTTATGATGGGAGTTTGCCTGATGTTCTCTTATGATTTTGTCGAGCTTTTGCATTTTGACAAGAATGCTACAGAAATGACGGGTGGTGCTTGGTGTACCTTATCAGGAGCTATGTGATGTCTGCATGTCTCGTTACTTCTGAATCACCTTTGATCACTTGGCTAAGGTGGTGTCTTCCACACTTCTCTAGAGTTAGTATTTTTGCTTTTGTAACTCATTCATATCTTGCAGAAAAATACTTCAAAATGCTGCAAATACTCTGTTTCACATCATAATTTTGCACAGATAACTTTAGCATTCATTGAAGATTTTTGCCTACAACGATTGTGATTTAGTGTTTGTTAAAAGCTGATTTCTATTTTCATCTTCCCTTCTTCACTCATACATTGAAATTCTACTATAAGGAAAAGCTGTACCTTCTCTCTCACTTATTCTTTTATTCAATCATTTATTTATCAGTATGAAATCAGAGATATTTATTATATTCCACATGTTATACTACATTAGTACCATTATTTGTTTTGTTGCTGAAATTGTCCCAGTTTTGGACATTAGGAGTTTCTTTAAGTTGGCCCTATGCAATTTTGACATTCTGCCATCAACTTCAGAGCACTGCCTTAGTTCCTGGCAATGCAAGATGTTCCAGGCTCATCTTGTACTTTTCCTGCATCAGGTCTGAAATCAACCATTCCTCCAGGAGCCCTGATTACTGTATTAGGAAAATTCTACTTAGAAACAAATACCTAGGCCCTAGGTGTGTTACTATTTTATCATTAAACTTTTGTTATAGCTTCTGGGCCCTTTCAGCAAATAGATGTAGGAAACACACACACACACACACACACACACACACACACACACCTTTATCCATTTGTATTTATATCTATTTGAACACATATTAAAACCCATTAGTTCACATCATTACCTAATACCACAGGGACCATTCTAGACTTACCCATTTCCTTTTTTCCCCATATTTTTATTGGTGCATTATAATAATACAGAATAGTAGGATTCATTATTGCATATTCATATGTGCACACACTATACATAATTTGGTCAACATCTTCCCCAATACCTCCCTTTCCTTTCCATCCTCCCTCCTCCAGGTTCCATTTCTTTACTCTACTGGTCTCCCTTGTATTTTCATGAGCTCCTCATCACCTCCCAACACCCCGACCCCGGTTTTTTCTCTTGAGCTTCCACATATGAAAGAAAACATACAAGCCTTGATTTTCTGAGTTTTGCTTATTTCATTTAATATAACACTCTCAAGTTCCATCCATTTTCCTGCAAGTGACATTTCATTCCTCTTTATTAGCCTTCTCCTTTCCTGTATTTGTAACTACTTTCTCCAAGGTTTCTCACTACCTGGCTCTCATTCACTACAATCCATTTACTTATTTGCTAGCTCCTAGCATACACATTCATCTAATAATTGATAATAATGCTCCAGTACACAATATTTATGTTTATTGATTTTTAAGTTTTATAGCATATAACTCACTACTGTTTTACATCGTTTCTTAGATTAGTTATTTATTCAACAACTCCTGAGGTGTAGTTATTCTTATATTTCTTTCTGAGTTCCTCCATGCCCTATTGACTTTTACTAATCAATCTAGTAGTTATTTTAAGATGCTAACTATTGCCATAGTTACAAATGTACAAGAACTATGGTTTACTCAGGGAAATATTACTCCTTCCTCACCCTTTTACCTTATTCCCATCCCCTATTCTTGTCACCTGATCTTACCCACATTCTGCATGTTATCAATTTTATTCATTTCTGATTTTTTTCCTGTTCTTCTTTTTGTACAAATTAGAAGAAAATGCAAAATTTCTTATATCATTTTTCTTACATGAAATGATGCATATGTTGATATTCTTTTGAACATTTCCTAAGTAAACTTAATATATCTTCTACAATTTTCCTTATTAATTCCTAGAGATTTTTCCTTATTGTCTTTTACAGCTGCATGCTCATGTGGATGTACTACAGTTTATTAAACTTTGCCCCCATTAATGGCTATGTTTTAAAATTTTTATAATTATAAACAATTAATACATTGTAAAAGTATATATTTTAAATTACTGAGGGCTTATATAGGAATAAAATTTTTATCTCCAGTTCAGTGGTTTAATTCTGTTTTAAAAATACTATATTGAGAGCAGCTTGAAAACTAAAAAAAAAAAAAATGTTATATGAAATAATGTTAATACTGTGCTAATAGCATTGTTTTCTTTTGGTAATCTAATTATAACTTATTTGAAATAGTTCAATCCAATAAACATTTCTCCTCACCTACTAGACCAGATGTTTAATTTTGAAATCTTTCCCATCGGTTCTAACATTTTCAATCATATCTTCATTCATTAAAAATATTCTAATTACTAAAAAGATTAAATTGTTTGTACTTGTTCAATATTGCTTGTATTTTGTTATAATGTAGTTTTCTACTATTAGTAGGACAAAAGGAACATTTGAAAAAGAAGTTCTAATTACTAATATTTACTTAAAATTAAAACTATTGTAGTTTCTAATCATAAAATAACCACTATTACATAAAAATATTTTATCCCCTTGGAGAGAGAAGACATAAATTTTAGACTATAGCCTGTTTTGTTTTGGGTTTTGTTTTTTGTTTTTGGTACCTGGGATTGAACCCAGGGGCCCTCAAGCATTGAGTCACATCCCCAGTCCTTCTTATATTTTAAGACAGGGTCTCACTAAGTTGCTTGGGGTCCCACTAAGTTCTGAGGCTATCTTTGAACTTGTGATCCTTCTGTCTCAGCCTCCTGAGCTGCTGGGATTACAGACATGCACCATGTCCAGCTAGACTATAGTCTTAATCTGGCTCCTCTATTCCCTAAGTATGGATATCTGTTAGGATAGAAGGAGTAAAACTGTATCATAGAATGTTATGGGTCGCTCCAGTGGTATAATGACAAAATAGCATAGGTTTCCTCCCTCCTAGCAGGAGAAGTTTCACCAAAACTTTGCTTCCTGTGAGACAGGAAGCTTTCAGGGACCTACAGGTCTCTATCTCCTGCATGGCTGGTAATTAAAATTTATGAAGGATGCTACACAGTCTATTTGGGAATTTATCCCTGATCCTGCCTCTGCCCTGGGTTTAGGAATCCCTCAGGTGCTCCAGCCTAGTTTATCAGGACACTGCACTTATAATCTAAGGAGTATTTATGTTGTCCTCTGCCTCATCATGGCCTACAAAAAAACCTGTTCAATCCACCAAGTCCTGTTTAATCCTATTGCAAGGTCCAACTAAGTCTCAAATAGTTATTTGATGGAAAGCTCTAAAGTTTTGGTGAGATACTAGTCCTGGATTTTGTAATTTCAGTAGATTTAACTGGGTCTACTAAAAAGTAACTTCTGGTATAGCTTCAAATAGACACCTCACCTATGTAACCACCTGTTCCACTGATTATATACAAATAGAGTCTAACTTGTCAGCAGTGTGGTAAGGACCTTGCTGTCTGGGTCAAGTAGGTCATGGTTTGGAACCTGCATCAAAACCTCTTTCTCCATGGTCAGAGGAGTGAGGTAATATATCAAATTGCATCATTAAATCCAAACTTCTCAAAATTACAATATTACAGTTTTTATTCAAATTTAAGCAATCATAAAGGAAGCAATCTTTCTCACAAATACACAGAAAAAGCATCTAGGTGATATTGTTCTTATGTTCATACCTCCTCGATCTCGGGCAGCTAAACTTTGACCCCTTCTTAATGTAATGTCCAACTGGTACATTCCGGGATCAGCCAAAGGGACATCTGCATTACTGGTTCCAACAGTGTTTATTTTCTGGAAAACAAGAAATATACAAAATATTAAGTTTATTATCTTTGTTCTTTTTTCTTAATGGGAGACTATATGTAGCTTAAACCAAATTGTAAGAATTGGACAATAAAAAATCAACTTGTGATTTCACACGGTAACATAATCACTCAGTTCTCTGAAGGTTTTGAAATTCATAAAATTCTTTAGACTTAAAATAAAAACATGGCCATTATAGAAATGTCCCATTTTAACTCATTATAACATATACAATATGAAAAACATTTCGTATGGAAGACTACATAATTTATCTAAAAAGATTAACATAATAGTCTCTAAAAGTAAAAATACATTAAATTATGAATGGAGAATAAAGATGTACAGAAGCTGATTTCCATATAACTGAAAATTAAAATTAAAATGATTTATTCAGGAGTCTTTGTTGACTCATTTACCTATGCAAAAGATCTCAGACTGATGGATTATACACTTCTATTTCAGCCCCAACATAAAATATGATATAATTGTATGGAAATAAATTCTCCTAGCATTTTGACAGTATTTGCAAGAAACAAATTCTCAATGGGGCTGAATATCTAATGCTCCTTTCTATGGAATTAAAGTGCACCAAGTTTTTTTTTTTTTTTTTAAAAAAAACCTTTGCAAGGCTACCTCTATAGAATATTTTTAGCAACAACACACTCTTAATAAGTCACTAGGCATTGAGTTACAAAAACATTTGCAAGAGGAATAACAATAAGAAAACAACACAAAAGACATTCAGTAAAAATTTTAGAGGTCAAATCTTATATCTCTTCCATTTTGTATAGAGTAGGAAAGTTATTTTTCTTCCCATGTTTGATATTATTTTAAATTTTATGATTTTTTCTATTTAAAAAGAAATGTTATTTTGTTTTAAAATATGCATAGATAATAGTTTCGATCCTTTAATTCCATAATTCACATGAAATGCAACTATAAAGCAGTATTTTTCAAATTTTTATTGAGATATAATTCACATAAAGTAAATTCACCGTTCAAGTGAGGCATTATATTTTTTCTGAAGTTTCAGGACCAAGGTAAGAAGATTTCCTTTTGTAACAGTGATTATTTAAAATGAGAAGCAGCACAACTTTGATTGATAACCTGGAGTCATCATCTCTCCTCTGGTAACAATAAAGAATTCATTTTGCTCCTCATAGTCACCTTGTTTCTATAAATGACATCACCATTCCCTAATCACTCTGGCTAGAAATTGCTGAGCCATCTTTGAACTCCTTCATTTGCCTCCCACTCACATCCAAATAGCTGCCAAGTACCATCCACCCCATTTCTGTGTTATATTTTACAACTGCCTTTTTCTGTGAATTCCTATTACCACTAGTTTGGATCACGCCTTGAAACAACAGAGAAATAAAAAGTAAATTTCAATCCAATTGTTCTAGTCCTGTAGTTACCAATTATCACTTTTGAAAGTTCTTTACAAACATATACACATACTAGTGTTTTAGTCAGCTTTTTGTCACTGTGACCGAAACATCTGACAAACAAGTTTATGGAGGGGAAAGTTTACTCAGGGCTCCTGGTTTCAGAGATCTTAGTCCACAGATGGCCAGCTTCACTGCTTTGGGCCCAAGATAAGACAGAACATCATGGCAGCAAAACAAAGCAGTCCAGGACATAGCTACCAAGAAGTAGAGAGAGTTCCACTCACCAGGGACAAAATATAAATCCCAAAGGCATGCCCCCCAAGACCTACCTCTTCTAGCTATACCCTACCTACCTACAGTTACCACAGGATTAACTGCTGCTTAGGTTAAGGCTCTTATATAAGCATTTCACCTCTAAATTTTCTTGCATTGTCTCACACACGAGTTTTGGGGAGATACCTCTTACCTAAACTATAACACAAAGGTTTTTGTGTGGTTTGTGGTTAGGTTTTGGTTTTAATTTTTAACAAAGCTAATATTATATTATTTTCTCCATTTTAACAATTTATTTAAGAAAAATATCATGGCATTTTTCTACCCATAGATTGATCAGCTTCTCCCCACACCTCTAATTTTCCAGCTTTAATGAGGCATAAATAACAAAATTGTGTGACTCTATGATATACAATGTGATGATGTGACATACATATATTTTGTGAGATGATTGTTATAATTAAGTAGTTAACATATTTCTTACCTCATTTAGTTAATCTTTTTCATTTTGTTTTATTTTGTGGTGACAACATTAAACAAATTTCAAGTATAAAATTCAGTATTGTCACCATGCTATATACAGACATCATGCTATATATTGGGTTCCCTAAATTATTTATCTTATATTGAAAGTTTACATCTTTGAGCAATGTTTTTCCTTTTCCCTCATCCCCTAAGCCCTGGTAACTGCTTTTTGTTTTAGGAAAAGTATCTTCCCAGCGTGACAATACTATAGTTTCTCTGTTATTTCCTATTGATGAGCAGTCATGTTAGTTTCAGTGTTTGCCACTAAAAGGACTAGTAATCTTATTTCTCTTATAGGATATTTTTTCCCCCAAAAAGTTTAAATCCTTGACACTGCTTTCAAAAATGTGTCAGAGTACCTATTTACAATAACTAATCCGCATATGATGTTACTAATTATTCTAACTTTTCAAGTTTTGTGAGCAAAACACATTATATACCTTTAAAACATATTTTCAGAGGTATGTTCAGGTATCTTGAAATCGGGGTAAAGGATAAAAGAGTGACAAATATTTATGGGCCATGCAGAAGACATCCATCTGGAAAGAGAAAGTCAACCAACGGCTTCTAAACAACTTCTCAAAGAACAGTTTGTATGAGAGTCTAATTCATAATCAAGATTTAAATTCAGATTCCTGGACAGTTGCTGACATGGACATTGTGTTCTAAGCAGTTTATTAGGTTCTTTTATACATATTGTTTCTGAGTAAACAAATCTATTAATGAATATTAATATTATATAGGCTTAGTACATTCTTTAAAAATGGAATGCAATCTGCAGAAAAAAAAAGTGATTTTCTACTCACCCCACCTTTAAAGACACAAAAGTTTGAATGCTCAGATATCTGTAACTTTTGTAGTCTTTGTTACACTATTCAGTGCTTCTGGAACTTTAGACTACATAATTTATAAAGTACTCTGTTTCATATTTTAAAATGTATACTATATGTTATCTGAGGTTAAGGAATTTTCATAGGTAATTTTAGTTACTTCAGAGTGTCCACTCCTGCCATTTTAGAATTTAACAGTTAAGACACAATTTCACTGGCCATGTATTTATTGGCTATGTTCATTTTTTCTTTTACAGAAAATTCATCTTTTGGCTATGTTCATTTTCTTATTCATATCCTCTGCTCATTTTTCTATTATGCTGTCTTTTATATGGCATGTAGGAACAGTTTTTATATCATATATATTGCAAATATTTCCTTCTACCTTGTTTTCTGTCTTTGATCTTTGGTCTTTGGGCAGTTAAAGCTTTTTTTAAATAACTTCTACATTCTTTTTCTAATTTGCTTTTCCCTTCCTCCCTTCCTTCCTTCTTGCCTTCCTTTTTTTTTTTATTTGCTTCTCATGATGCTGAGGATCAAACACAGGACCTTATACACACTAGGCGAGTGCTCTACCACTGAGCTTTATCCCCAGATCCTTTCTTCATTTCTTATCTTGACTAAAAATATTTTACTACATCATGAAAATATGTAGTCATTTTCTTGTATTTTTATAATTTTAATTTTATGCACATCTCTAAATCATCTTGATTATGAATTTATACAGTATATTTAAATATACTGTGTAAAACAGGAACTTAAGTATTTCTTCAAATGTTGATTGGATTGAGAGTCAGCAGGTGTAATACTACCTATTAAAAAGCCATTTCCATTTACAACACAGCAAGTTCTCACAGGTATTTGGATATGCTCCTGAAATTCCTATAATTTACTTATTTTTGCATCAATACCATACAATTAATTACAATGACTTTTAAAGCAAATTTAAATATCTGTTAGAATATGTAGCTGCACATTTCTTGTTTTTAAAAAGTTGCCTGGTTATTGTTGCTTTTGTGGTTTTTGGTTTAGCTAGGCCAGAATCACAGATTGAATATCAATTCTGCCACTTACGATAAGTATATGTGAGTTCTTATTTTTCAAAAATGAAACAAATGGGCTCCACCTGTGCGGAGACTGGCCATGAGGGCTCACCCTCCAGGAGGAAGAAGCCCCGCCAGCCCCGCGGGTCCCCCTGGCCCCACTTTGAAACCCAACGGCAGCTAATGGTCCTTCAATTCACAACCTTCGACTGAAGTTAAACGTACACCGTGGCTCCTCTCGGCCAATCCACTTAAGTTTACTTTAAGCCACTTGCATCAGGCACCTATTAAAACAAGAGTGAGGAAGGGAAGGAAGATGGCGGCGAGGGGAGTGCATTGCCCCCGTGTGCTGCTTCACTGTGTGGGAGTATGACAAGTCAGGACGGCTAAAGGATATCTTGTTAGGAATTTCCAGCAATAGTGGGGTGCTCCGGAACCTGGAGGAAGGATTTCCATCGCACGAGGATCGGCTACGGGGACTCAAACGCGAGAGGTTTGTCGCACGGAGGGTAACACTGCTTATTCAGCAAATCGCCCCGTGGCTAGAGTCTGCAGCGCGCGCTGGGATAGAGACGCAGGGTTACAGCGCTGCAGTTTCTGCCAGCCGCGCAAGCACCGTACTCAGGGCTGAATTCTGGGTTCGAGACGGGGGAAGGAAGCGGTCCATCTCGGTTCTCCACACCGGTCAGACCACAGAGGAGGCCAGCAGCCACCATGTTGGTAAACTGACGTCACCACCCCTGTTTTCGACTGACCGCAGCTCATTCAGCCATAGAACAGGTAATTTCAGGCTGCAATTCGCCTGCGGCTTGCAGACAGATTGCTAGGGTTCAGCGCCTGGGTGCTTCTTAGAACCTGATCTTATCGGAGCGAACACCGAGCGCGGGGCGGCCGAGTTCCGGCTCCCGGAACCGTCCTGGAACCGC